CAAGTCTCTCTTGCTCCTCCCTCGCAAGTCTCTCTTGCTCCTCCCTCGCAAGTCTCTCTTGCTCCTCCCTTGCAAGTCTTTCTTGCTCCTCCCTTGCAATTCTTTCTTGCTCCTCCCTAGCAGCTCTTTCTTGTGCCTCCCTTGCAGCTCTTTCTTGCTCCTCCCTAGCAGCTCTTTCTTGTGCCTCCCTTGCAGCTCGTTCCTTCTCCTCTTGCTGCTTTCTAGCCTTTTCTTGTTGTGCTAGTAATTCTCTCTCTCTACTGATTCGTTCTTGCTCCTTTATAGCTTTATCATCCTCTACACTACCGTGTTCCTCTTTTTTAGTCGTTTGGGTTGCTTCTTCCTTCTCATTATTTACTTCATTGGATGGCTGCCATCCAGGTGAACCGAATGTTTTTTCTAATCAGACTGTGAATATTTAAAGTCGAAATGAAGTATTTTGAATCTCAAAAGTCAAGGGGGAGCATCATGGATCATGATGATACCTTTATAGCTTCAGAAAGAGTTCTAGGAGTCTCAGTCGTGGATAACCCATGAGAAGTAACTAAGCTTACTCTTTGTATTCTTTTTACCAATCTATTTTCAAATTCTTCAGTGAGTTTATTCAGTATATTCTCGACAATCTGTAGAAATAAAAACAAAAAAGAATATTTTTCTAGGTATGAACAAACTGGTGGTACATACTACATGGTAATGAGTAGAAGAGAACTAACAATAGGAATGTCTTCTTCCTCTTTATCCTCAAGTAGATCACAAACAATCGTGAACAATGGCCCAGAATCGGACTGCAAATCATACATGTAAATTATCCGATGGCCAAAGGCAATCAAGTATGCTAAAAATCCCCACAAATAATTAGAAAGAAGTAAACCTCTTCATTAGCGTCACTCGCATTCCCACTTTGATCCAATGTATCAAATGACTTGTCACTGCCAACGGATTGAGTTCTTGAGAGGGGAGTCATTGATGGTTCTGAGTTTCTGCGATTAAATGACTTCGCGCTTGGAGAGGATTTCGACCCTGAGAATTTGCGTGACCCACTTCCACCTAACTTTTTCCAGTCGCTAAACGATTTCAGGGCTAGTAAACAGTCTACCACTTTCGAAAAATCTCCCCCCTACAAATGTAAATTTAGAACACATTAAAGTACCATATGTAGGTACTTGACACACTTGATGAACAACTACCTCTTCTAGATCATCAAAATCAAAAGTTGGAAGGCCAAGATCTTCTACGGCTACAAGAAAATTTCTTATATTTTCATAGTAGGCAGATAGAGCTTCCGCATCAGGTTCATTGAAGACAGCCGAAGGCGCTTCCACAACCTATATATTGTTAATTGGACCCAAGTTTAATTTTCCAAATGTTAAAAAGAAACAAAAGAGAAAGATCAAGAAGTGAAAATGAAACTTACTTTAGGAATAGCACCAGGTTGCAACTTGTTAACAAGATTACAAAGGATCATCCCACTTCTTAATCCTTGCAAAAAATCTTCTTCCGAAGGCTCGGCCGGCAAATCTTTTGCAACCACTACACCTACTGTCTTTCTTAGCCATCTTGCTGCCTCTTTTCTTCTTGTTGCTGAAATTCATACACCACCAACATCACATTTCCCTTTGTCATAATCAATCATTAACCCTAGTTCCAAGAATCATAGTTCTCCCTTTTCTCTCAGGCATAAACACAAACACTTATAGTTATATAAAGAATTAACAATATGTGAATCCACAATTTCAAAGAAATCAATATAGCAATGAGAATGAGATTAATTTCCACCATCCTATATGCATTAACCAATGAGACAAACACCCAATCATGTGGGTGTACGGAAATATTTGAAATTACTAATGATGAAACAGGTAGGGAACTTACGGTAATCATCAGACGCCATTTTCAGCGCTATATCTCCCGTTCCCGCCATTTTAAACACAATAACCAGTCACCCAGAAATCCTTACACCCTTTTCTATTACAAATTTCAGATAATTCGTTCAATTTCTTCTACACCTCGCCCAAATTCATTGATGGAGGCATGGTTATTATTTATAAGTAAATGGATGTATTGGAAGAAATTACAACAAGAGATGTTACAGAGAGAGATGAAGAATTAGGAAAAACAGAAAATTAATTTTGGATTTCTTTTCTTTCAACCCTTTCTCATGTTTCTTCAGATTGTTTCCCTTGTTTTCTTTTCTTGTGTGTGTTAGTTAAGCTTTTCTCTCTCTGTATGCTCGTTCCTGGCCTCTCGTCTTGGAAGGGAACCTCCGGATGGTTTAAAATTCTCTCCTTTTGCCCGCCATTGATGTTCATCGTTGGAGCTTCTTGTGACTCCATTTGTCCAAATTTTTAAAACGTAAATCAGAACTAAAATACATATGGTCCCTACACATATCTCAAACTTACATTTATCGTCTCTCGTGAAGCATTTGACCAATTTACGTCCTTCATCATCAACTTTATATTAATTTCATCCCCAACGCCACGTTAAGCTTGTAGCACGTCATGGCCTAATATGCAGTTTTTGTAATGCGATATTTGATTTTTCAAACCTTTTTGATGTCTTATTTGTTAATTTTTAATATATAACTTAATTTAAATTGTTTAATATCATTGATTTATTGAGTAATAGTAGAAAACATATATTCATATACATTATCTTATATATCTATATATGATATAGATATTTGCCCCCATAAGTCATTTCTTGAAAAACGTTGTCATCTCGTCATACTTTTTATGACTTGAGGTTTGACCTTGACGTCACATCACGTCTAAGGCCATTTCAGCCGGAACTTGAACTTGCTTCAATTCTTTTATGAGAATCTAATCATTGTTTCACACATATATGATGTTTATGAGCTTTGAAATTTTATTATAAACCCCCTAATTGTATTTAGCATAATATAAACAAAAAACATTTTATGTTTTTCAAAAAATTGGTGTTATGTATTTATGTCAATCCGTGAAACCCGTCCAATCCAACCCACTAACAACTCAATTAAATTCAACCCGTCTAACCGTCAAACGGTCCATCCGCCAATTAAGAGGGTTGAAATTAGGTTGGACTTAGCTCAACCCACCCAATTCACCAACCCGCCACTAATATATAATTTATATAACATGTTATTTATATATATGTTTATTGTGTGTGTGTGTATATATACATACTAATAATGTATAAATTTTTTATATTTTTTTTGGTATTATGTTTGTATTTCATTTTAGCTAAACGTATAGGTTATCAAAAGAGATTCACAATCAAAAAGTGATAACAAATAATCTAATTAATAAAAGAAAATTATTGAAATCTTTTTTTGCAGCAATAACAAATCGACATGTCGGAGAATATAAACGATGTTGATAGATATTTGGTTGACGAATCCATCAATCTAAATACCCCGACATTTTATATTGTGCTTTTGTGGAAAGAAAATGCTTAGTTATAGCATTTTGCTACAACAACATTAGATCTTTAAGGATGCCTAAAATGTCTAAGCGTTATAATATGATACTTTATAGGACGAAACAAAAAAAATGTCTTATCTAAAAGAGTTAAAATGTTTATAGGATGATTTTGGTCGTCTTAACAAATTATATGTCGCTTTTAAAATAAAGTTTCATATTAGTTATTTTATACGACACGACTTGAAAAAGTGTCATATGAACATAAGTATCCTATAAATAGATAAGTTTACGGGACACTTCTCAAAATGTTTCTATAAAATAATTAATACGACATTTTATTTAAATATCATTCTAAAACATTTGTGGAAAGGTCCAAAAACGTCCTGTAAACCTATTGTAACTTTTTTAAATATGACGTTTTATAGTATGGTCTATAAACTTAGGTTTTATGAATTATTTCATTCATCAAATTTATGTAACTACTAACCCGTCAACCCGCCTCAACTCACAAGGGTTGGGTTAGGTTATACTTTTGAATGAGTTGGGTTGGGTTGATATTTTTCCAAACCACCATAATTTAGTTGGATTGTAAAAATGTTGTAAATCGCCCAACCCAACTTGCGTACACCCCTAATTCTACGTGTACATTAGTTTGTTGTTTCTGCCAAGTTTGTTTTAGGATGTTCACAAGATTTTTTGATTAACCTGGATATCCAACCCGCTATGTGAGCCGATTAATCCCACGGCGACCACCTGTTTTGCAGATAGTCCGGAGTCACCGCATTTGAACCTCTGTGGCCACAAGGGGCTTTTTATTCCTCCTTTGATTTAAACCTGAGATCTCCTGATACTTTTAACCTTTAGAGCCAAACTCAAACCAATCAGATACATATGATCAAATCACAGGATTGTTATTCTCATATAGGTATAATTTTCACTGAGCTTGATAAGAATACATAATTTGCTTTATGATTTGGCATTCCATGCTTTATTCCATCCATTACACAATTTGCATAAATTGGTTTTATGCATCTTGATACATTGTTAGTGGATGATTGCATATTCTTATGATCACTTCATTGCTTTTCTCATTCCAACCCTTTCACATATAATTTCCAATAATTTATGAATTTTTTAAAAAACCTATTTTTTTAATATCTGTTATATCATCGAACCTTATCCCGTTCGCGCTTGCATCGTCCCCTTATTAGCATGTCCGCACCCCCCCCCTCCCCTCCCCCGTGACACTGTCGTTCTTCTCCTCCTCCCTTATTTTTTCATTCGTACTTTTTATCTTTTAAACCAAAAAGATTTATAATTTTACGTCTTAAGAGCATCTCCAACATATCCTCTAAAATGAAAAAAATGAAGATGCTACACAAATTTTTGTCCCAATAAATTCTCCAAAATATAAATAGATTTATTTTAAGGAGGATGAGGAACGAAGACAGTGGTTTGACTGCTGGGATCCCAATCGGCCTGCATCAGCGGAAAATGGAACTATCGAATCACAGGTGACTCCCTTTATCGGGATGGAGGGAATTGCTTAATCGGCATTTCTGTCAATCGACGGAAGACTCATGCATCCTGGGAGGGTACGACTCCAAGGGATGGACTCGATCGAACGGCCAACCATTTTCCGTTTTTGTAGGATATCATGAGAGAGAGAGAGAGAGAGAAGTGTGTAAATTTTTCAAATTTAAAGAATGCTTCAAAAATGAAAGCAAAATAATTTTTTATTATACTCTTTAACAATAAAAAAGACCTTAATGTTAAATGTTTGTGTGAAAGAAATAATATTTTATTATATATATATATATATATATATTAATATATAATTAATGTTGCAGTTTTTAAATAAAAAGTCTGTTGAAGTAAAATGTAATTTTTTTATAAATTTTAAATATTTTGATTTAAAAAATACGTTCAAGATGGTTGACCAAACAAATAAAAATTCGTAGATTTATCATTTTTAGTCATTTTTTGGTTGGATTTATGTAACATTAATTGGAATTGCATAGTTGGTGACCTCTTTTTTGATTGATCAAATTCATACATTTGATTGATCAAATTTAGTAAGACAAAGTATGAGAGAAAAGTTGTTTGACAACAACTCAAACCATTAAGTAGCCAACTAAAAATGAAAAATCATAATCTTAAATAAATAACAGAAAATGAATAATTAATTAACATAAAGAAAGAAAAATAAATAGTTAACTAACATAAAATTGCAATATGCATGTAGAAGTACAACAATCCTCGTGTTTTTAATGAAAAACATAAATTACATATAGGGATATAAAAGTCTTTAACATATTAAACATTTTTTAAAAATTCAAATTTTAAGAAAAATTTGGGAGAACCATTCCTACTCTCTAACAATGTAATGTCATCACTTCAAGGTTTTCCTTTTATATATATTAATTTACACATAAAAATGTTTAATAACTCGAGAGTTGTGAAACGTTTTTTCCATTTTAATTTATTTATGTGAAAAATAAATCATTTTATATCCAAAACATTTAAGGGCTGTTTGTTTTTAATAAAAAAAACTCTTAATGTCCTCTTAAGTCTGAATCGGTCAGACATAAGAGGATTCAGTGTGTTTGTTTTTTTTTTCAATTAARAGCTTAAAAGCTCTTATTAGGTCTGAAAATTTAAGTGGTTGTGAAACCTCTTATTACCTCTTATTTCAAATCGTCGCCTACCTACTCTGATCTATTTGCGCTCGATTTCTCTAGATCAACTCTTCTGTCTCGATCTCTCATCTCTCATCTCTCAACTTTGTCAACTGTCGATCCATATCTACACTCGATCTCTCATCTTCAAACTTCAGATTTCAGACGCAAAAAACAAACAGTATGACTGATTCAGATTTCAGACTTCAGCACAACCTCTTAAAAATCAGAAGTGAATTCAGACTTCAGACTTCAGCACCACTTAAAAAACAAACGCCACCTTAGCGTCTCCCATGTCCGGCCGTACTTATAATCGCATTAAGTCTCCAAGATGAACCGTCTTTGATCAATAGAACAATGTAGCAAAGCAGTGATGAATCTAGAAATTTAGACAATTGGAGACACACATAAAAGTGTTAAAAAAAAGTCTGAAACCGAATAACCCAACCAAACGAAACAACTTGGTTAATCGAATAAAAATTACTTATTCGGTATGGTTTTTGGTTAACTTTGTGCTGTTTCCATTAAACCTAATTGTACGTTATACTATTATCTATACTATATTATAAAGCATTTGACAAAAACTCTTAAAAACCATTTTTATGCATAATGTACTGTTTATTGATGCATATTACTTAAAATTCAAGATTACAAGTGATTTTGCATAAGTATAACTTATTAAAACTCCATTTTAAATCCGTGTAACTAACTGCAGATAAAAATAATCAAATACATGATAAATATCTATTTTAAATATAGAAAATCTAAAATATAATTAAGATAATCATTGAGTTTCTAACAGAATGTTTAATTATTATTTTTAATAAAAACTATATTATTAAACCCAAAATAAATTACTTTGTTGTTAGACCTAAATTAAATTATAATAAAAAAATTGAATTAAAAAACTTACACCAAAAAATCGAGAACTATTAAATAGTTAATTTAATACTAATATCGATTTTATTTTTTTCAAATTTATATT